TAGACAACAAGATCATGGCCAACTGGGGCGACTATGACGTCAACTTGCAAGTATTCGAGCACCGCATCAAGGTCGTCAGGTGAGTTATATTGTTATTGTTCAAGCTCTACGCACGTGCCATGAGTTAACGCCATACAATACTAACAAATATGTACTTGTCTTAACAATGTGCAATAACACGTAAAATGTATAATAAACAACACTTGATTATTGTTAACTTGTTGAATAGGAAAACTAATGGTGTCGACATTTTGAAGCGTTATTAAATTAGTTACGAAGAAGAGTGAAGCCGGGGCATTTGTTAGAAAAGTTGTAGGTTATGGTTACTATGGGTACGAACTACCCATACGATGTTGTTGCAGACGTCGGCTGGGCGAGGGGGGGCTGGCGACGCGCGGGTACAGCGTGTGGGCGGGGCTGGGCGGCGCGGGGGCGGGGTGCGGCGTGGGCGCGGAGCTGGAGGTGGGCGCGCCCGGCGAGCGGCTGCCGCACCGCGCCGCATACTACCGCGCCTTCCCCGCGCGCCTCGATGCGGCCGCGCTCGCCCCGCCCCCCGCCAACGACCGCAGGTGCGCCTCCCCGCCCCCTGAAGCCCCCTGACGGCCCCTTGCGCTACGGACATCGACCTCGCGAATTGTTTTTGGGCTTAATTCCTTGGGGATTTGAAGTTTGGCATTTTTAGCTTTTTCTTTTGTCTAAAATACTTTTATCGAGTGAACAGAGCTCTTCCTTTCTTAGTTAGACTGTGCTATCGAAGTCAAACTTCGGACCCCCAACACCGGTCGCTTATTCATTACGAAAAACCTTATTTGCCAATGTTACGGTATTTCGTTAGTCTTCCATGTATGTAGATTGTTTATTCGTTAACGGTGCTTTTTGTGTAATAAAGCTTTCTAGACATGAGACGACTGTGACACGTCAAGCACGGCAATAATTTTGTTTAATTTAAGTAGATGGCTGTCTTCCACATTTTGTTTGGTCTTGTTTTCATACAATATATCTCGATTTTGGTTAAAATTAATAAATTGTAGTATTGAAATGATTTGGGATATACAAGTGAAGTAAATGTGCATGGACCTTATCATCAATTGCTTAAATGTAACAAGTCTTTATATATTTTGTTTATATGTGTTAGTCTTATGTACTCAATTATTTTTCCATGAGATATCATTTTGCATCTGCTATTTTTATTCAAGCGGCTTTTGACTTCTAATAGATTCAATATGACGGATTAATTATTGATATTAAATGTCAAAATCTTTACTGCTCACCTTTTGCTCATACTTGACTGACGAAACGAATGATATGTTAAGCATAGATTTTTTATTTCCGCCATTTTTAGGGTTCCGTACCTCATAGGAAAAAAATGGAACCCTTATAGGATCACTTTGGTCGTCCGTCTGTCTGTCAAAAAATCTGAAATTTATTGAATACTTGAGTTATTTAAGTTTGGAATATTTAGCATGTCTATAGCATGAGTATAAATCATCATAAACGTAAGATATTTTGTGACGAAATTTAAGCAAAATAATTTTCAGCCATTTTTTTTAAGTGAAGGCGGGAAGGTTTTTACTTGTTTAATTCTTGTAGGTGCTTGTGTTTTACATATAAAATACATCAGTCTTGCCTTCTTATGTTGATATCTGAACCAGATATAATTTAAGGTGCTATACAAACTACCGTTATTTCTGTGAAATTTACTTTAATTAAACTGCTAATAAGTAAAACAACTCTTTTGAGTATTTCTCTTAACTTTAAAAACGTCAAAAGTTCAAATTACATTAGGTATTTAAGTTAATAACGTTTTTCTTCCATTTTTTACAATATGAGATTTTTTTATGTCATTATTTTTAATTTTTCATTAATTTATTTAATTTGTAATGGGAGCAGAACCAACATACAATTTTGACAGACCTTTAATTTTTTATTAATGTAAATATTTAAAAAAAATATTTTGTGAAAAATTGCATGTTATTAAGCCCCTTTCTAAGATGTTTTTTTACAACTATTTATTAATAACACTTGTTAAAAAAAAATATTTTATTCCATATTTGTAAGTAAAATTATTTGCCTCCTAGTGGACAATGTAGATTTTATGTCTATAAGATTAATTTAATTTTTTATTTAACTTTTTATAAAGTTATATTTTTATATTATTTAAAACAGAATCTCTTATTCCATAGTTTATTTTAAGAAAAAAGTTATCATTTTATTATTTTTAAATAACATTTTTTTTTGTTATTTACAATTGAAATTTTTATTTATACCAGTATTTTGTACGCTTTAAAGTTTGTATTGATTTTTATGACCAAAAAGGGCTGTAAAATGATGTAACCTAAAAGGTAAATTGTATTGGAATACGCGAAAGTTAGAGATTTTTTTAAATGATGCGTTTTGACATTTTTATGATAGTTGATTTCGCGTGAACGTTTCTATATCTCATAAAAGAAACTATTTTATTTTATATTCTATTTATAACTGTTTAACTACGCTTCAATTAATTTTAATATAAAAGAATTAACCGTATGTTCTATAGTAGTTAATACGCGTCATTTCAAAACTGTACTATTTATTTTGTGATTGTATTCGCATGTTTAGTTGATATATAATTTTTATTACTCAGAGCATGATATTTCCTTGTATTTTTGCATGTTCTATAGATAGTTATGAATACTCGAAAGAATTAAATTTTATTCTGTATAGCGGATTGAATTAAGATTTAAAGAAAATAACTGTCAGTCGCTTAAAAATACCGCGAAGATTGTTTTTACCCGACTTTTAAACCGAATATATCCAAAATTACAGTTTGAAGCTTAAAAGTAAAATTGTGCGTAATTCAATTACAGATATGTAAATAGGACTCGATGAAAAAAAAATTAATCAAATCTTTGTTTTCTTTTTTTTCTTAATCATCTAATGGCAGTTATGTTTTTTTTTAATTATAATTATTATCAATATTTGATGAATATTGTTAATTATATCCGAATTATTTTTTATTTAATGTTCATGTTAAATTTTTATTTTGTTAAATGCATGCTGTGTTACTAATGCATGATTAGAAAAACAGTTACATTTTTAGCATGATAATTTTGTATTGTGTTATGTTTTTAAATTAAAATAAAATATATAATAGTCGTCATAATTTTGTAGACCTTTATCGACATTTAAAATCGATGAGTCGAATAGTCTTTAACCGTTGGCTTCTACAAGCGAAACACTCGTACTAAAATATCGGCATCCCTTTTATTCTTATAACAAAAACTGAGATGGCAATATTAGTACGCGTTTTTCTATTGAAAATCAATGTTAAAATATATAACGAATAATGCAAAAGTTTTACATAATGTATCACTTATTTATTAAATTTCAAATTTATAAGAATAAATGTTTTTAAATATTAATAACGGCATTTTAAATGATACCTGAAGTTAATCTAGAAATATACAATAAATTTAATAACTAATTACTTAATTTAATACAAGTAACAAATAATATAATTGTTATTACTAAAAAGTAAATGAATTCAGCACTTATAACTAAAAGTAGCACATGTAAAATCCTAGACTAATAATTTAAAAATAAATGTTTGTAGTCAGTCAAGTGGCTTTTGCTTTATGTGCTTTTGTCTGTACCATTAAAAAAGTATAAATATATATATTTTTTAATTTAGTTTTTTTTTGCTTAATATTTCAGAACAAACAGTTTAAAGCGTATTAAGAACGCGAAGTGGCAAGTGAAAGATTGTCCGCCGGAAATGCTGCTAGGTGACATCGGTAGGCGTCTCTCCACGGAGGTCACGCCTGCAGCCATCGCGCAAAATAATAGAACTTTCGTTGAGAAACTTTTGAAGGTACTACAATAACAATTTATAAAAATATAAAGAATTAAAAAATATAGTACCGTATGAATTCTTCGAGACAATGTTCTGAATTCTAACCAACATCCATCAATCCATCCATCCATCTAGAATGTTAGCAAGACTAGCAATCGATAGCAACGATTAATATTACACCATACATACGTCGATCCTCACTCTTCCACTCTACTCCATACAATCTTTACATAGTGCTCGGCTACGTACTTACAAATCTCCTTGCATAAATTTATACTAGTATTTAAAACAAACTGATGCTTACACTATTCACTGAATAAAAGTAAGAAGAGTCATATTTTAATTCATCACTTCCATTCTATTGTCTTTCAACAGGAATGTAAAAGCAAAACAAAACGTATGCTTGTTGAAAAAATGGGTACAGAGGAATCTGACTTGGGTCTCGGTAGCGAAGTGTCGGTGACCGGCGTCGAAGAGAATACTATGATCGCTTCCCTCTGCGACTTGCTGGAGAGGCTCTGGTCACATGGGCTGCAGCACAAGATGGGCAAATCCGCGCTCTGGATGCACCTGACTAACTACCAAGAGTTGGAGCAATGCAGCAACTCAACCAAACCTATAGACCCCAATTATCTCACTCCAGGTGCGTGAAATTTCTCTTGTGTTCTCGAAGAGAATGCTACGACTTCTTGATATGTCATACGTACTTGTTGGGCTTCCAATTTAAAGCGTATTTATAACACTGTACCAATTTTTTTTGGCAAACTTTTTTACTCTGTGACTTTTAAAATTGTTTATGTTTTGTGCATGCAGCCTTAGCTTGGTGTGTTTTGAGGAAACGATTGGATTGTAAGTATCGATTTAAAATTAATTCAGTGAATAAGCAATCAGATATTTATCACAGAAATTTAAAAAGAGCGATCGAACGCATGTTTATTTCAGAAAATAGTAAAATAGTCCTATGTAAATATATTAAATAAATTTTTTCAGACTTATCCGCTGTGGGTGCGGAGGTGGAGGCACACCAGGCCAGCAGCAGCGGGACTCGTTCCCGGGACAGCTCGCGCGGCGGCTCCCGGGATAGTTCTAGGGATCGTCTGAGCAATTCCGGGACATTGGAAAGAAAATCCATCCAGCCTTCGAACCCGATGCGTCCGCTCCCAGAAAGCTTGACTTTTGATATGCGGTAAGGATAAAAATAATATAAAGACTGTCGCACTCAGAATCATTAAGTACTAATTTCTCATATTATCTAAGATTCTTCAGAGATTTGCAACGGTTGGAGTAAGTCGGTGAACTGCTCATATGAAAAATACGCACTAGAAATTCTCATAAAACCTTCTAAAAAGGTAAACCTTCTAAAAAACTTCTCATAAAACCACACCAAAAAGCTCCCTTAGTGACCAATTAATGACTTCTGTCACTGAGCACAGGTTATTTAACATCGAATATATTGACAGATCTCTTCTTCTATGTTATTTTCAGGAATGTGCAAGCAATGACAGATATAAAGACGGAGATCGGTTACGCTAGAGCTTGGGTGCGTCTATCCTTGGAAAAGAAGCTGCTATCAAAGCATTTGCGGGAACTGCTCGCTGACACAACACTGCTGCGCTCCCAGTACAAGAGGACGGCCTTCTTACGTTGTGAGGAAGAAAGGGAACAATTCCTCTATCACTTGCTGACTTTAAATGCTGTGGATTACTATTGTTTCACCAATACATATCCGACAACTAGTAAGTTCAAATTTAATTCGAATTAAAAAAAAAAGTTTATTAGTAGCCCCATAGTTATCCGTCCATCCATACAAACAGTTAAATATATTGAAACTTTAAATTTATATGTGTATATATATATTAGATTTATTTAAAGAAAACATCAAGATCATAATGAAATTAAATATTCCAGAATTGCCGTATCGCGTGTTGATAGCACCGTCTCGTAAGGCCAGTCAGACGACCGCCAACTGCTGGCTTTCCATATCCGGAGCTAACGGGGAGTCCACGCCCAAGATTCCGATACCTCGCAATACTAATGAGTTTGTCTTCCACGTAAGTAATATTTGCCTATTTTCATACAAAATTACTATATTTTTATTGTTTTTCTTTTACCTTGTAAATAACTTGGAAACGTATTAAAAACATATTGCACTTAATACTTATAAATAATCATTATACTTCTCTAAAACTATATATATTTATGGATACGTTTTTAATAACGGATACTATCTCACTCTGTCCCTTCTCATTTTGTATATCGATCTCTTTTACTCCACCAATAGCGTCTGAGTTCTTCAATCCATTCTAAAATCTCTTTACACGTACAGACGTAATTGTTTTTTTTTCAGCACAAAAATCTAGGTATCCTATCAACTTTACGCATCGGGCACGACAACAGCGGCTTGTCACCGCGGTGGCTGCTGGATCAAGTGTTTGTTAGGAACGAGGTCACTGGACACACCTACACGTAAGTATTAACGACCTGTCCCGTATTTGGGCGTTTTCTGAAAATTGAAATCGGTCTGGTAGTTTTTGAGTTTATTAGTTTCAAACAAATATAAATCTTGTGTCGATTTTTAAGTTATAATGAATTTCTTATGTTCGTGTTAAGGTTCCCATGTAACCGCTGGCTGGGTACTGGAGTGGACGACGGGTCTACTGAGCGGCTGGTGGTGGCGGCGCGGATCAGGGGGGAGCGCTCGCCCCGCACACCCGCGCCCCTCTCCGCGGCCCTCTCCCCCACCACCACGCACCTCTCCACCTCCACCATACAGCACATGATCGGTATGTCACACCACAACCAGACCATATTGTAATTCGTTTTATAATCTTACGTCTTACTACTATTATAAATGAGAATGTTTAGATGGTTGGATGTTTGTTTGAAGATATCTCCGTAACGGCTTAAAGGATCATGATGAAATTTGGTATGGATATAGAACATAGACTGGTAGATGGGCTATTCATAACTTTTTTTTTTAATTAAGCTAGTTTGTACATAAAATATAAGCTTTACATTTAATTATGCTGTTAACATGTTTTTTTATTTTTCTAATTGTAAAATTTTTCATTTTGTTCATCTCCAACTTACATCAATAAATAAAGTCTTGTATTTGTATGTTAACTATTTTCGTGCAAATCCTATTTTTTAGGTGATTGCGTGAACGCAATAGTGAAGTGGCACTACCAGAGCAAGCGCGATAAGGACGCGAATTCTCTGAGCGTGCTCCTGTGCGGTGACAACGGTCTCGTCAAGTGCCTCGAGCAGGCCTTCCTCTGCGGATTCAAGTCCGCCAGGCTCTTCGGCAAGAATCTCTTCATTTGGGACTACTTTGGTAAGCCTCACTGGTAGCTAATAAAATTAACTGTACATTCTTACGGAAACAAACTATCGGCTTTCATGGAGTTAATTCACGGTGTGATGATGGCCTTTACAAAGAGACGAGCAAGGTACAACACGTGTATCACTTCACATATTAAAACCAATACATTACTTAACTTCCACGCCTCATACAATAAACTTACTGTGGTATTGAGGGTATCAAATATTTTAGGGACTCGACAACACAACGTTAGGTGTAGCGGAACGTAAAGGCATGCACAGTGAGAAGTTGACCTTGTGTCGCCAAAAAGACTGAAAGCGCGCATACTTACTGAATTCAGCAAGGCAAGGCTTTGTTAATTTTCAGCTCGAGTGCGAGACGAGTTCAAGCTGAGCTTGTCAGAGGAGGGTGGCGGTGGCGGTGGTGGGGGCGGGGGCGGTGCGTGCGGCGTGTACAGCTGCCGGCAGGACGCGGAGCACCGCGCCATCTGGCGCTGCTACTGCCACCTGGCGGACGAGGTGGGCGCCGTCGGCCGCGCGCTCGGCAAGGACGGCAAGTTCCAGCTCTTCATCTGTCTCAGCTTACGGTCAGCATATTTCATTTTATTATATTCATGTGTCACCACCTGCACCTATACTTATATAAACCATAGAGTAGATTACTTCTATGTCATACTGAGATTCTTTATGGTGCCCAAGTACATTACATCGATTCAAACACCTATTGTGTCTATTACTTAAACAATATACTAGGTGTAACCCGCAACTCCGTCCACGCGTGGTTAAAAATACTTAATTGGTAGTCTACGTATTCTTCTCAACGATGTTCTACACCTATACCAAATTTCAGCGAGTTTAATTCAACCATTCTCGAGATACCTTCTAACAAACATCCATCCATCCAAACATTCGCATTAATAATATTAGTAAGATTAATATTGTATATGTTTAATTTAGCGAGCACTGGCTGCACAGAATGCTAGTGCCGATGTCTTTGACGCGTGTGACAGCGGAAATGTACGAAGAGCAAAGCTTTCTGCGGAAACGAGGTCTGTTAACTTTCCTCAGACAAATTCTCGAACCTTTGGACGAGTTCGATATCGTTCTCGAAAATTCTCTTACCCAAGGCATTTAATTACTTTTTGTCTTCTTTCCATGTGAAATTCATAGAGTATAGAATTGTTACAGTGGATGTATGAAAGTTAACGGCGAATTTCGTAATATGCTCTCTTTTAAAATAAATTTGATATATTTTTTTTCTCTTCTACATGTACATAGAAGATAATGATCTCTCTTTCCCTTTTATATCTCTATGCATTTCACATGACAAGTAATTCAAATCGTTTATATCATTATGAAGCAATAGTAAAAATATAAAACTTATACTCATTAATATCTTTTAGTTTTATAAAAAAAATTGCATTGAATTATTGATAAAAATACTCAAAAAATATTATTAAATCCAAAGTTCATAATGTTTAGTTATGATTATATTATCTGTGAAATATTAGTTAATAATCTTATCTTGCCATCTTATCCCAAAGATCGCGGTATTTGCGTAAATTGATTTATAATTTGATGAAGATTTTATCTTTAAGATTTTTCAATCCAAAAAAAAAAACAAAAATGTTTTCTAATATTCTATGTATACTTGTACTTATTTTAACCACACTGTTAATATAATTTCAAAAATATTAACATCAAAAATACTTCAGAGTAGTTATATTTTTGTCGATTCCATCTCGTTTTTCATATTTCCTTGAAAGTGATGATAAATTTTTTTATTCATTGATGACCTTGACACAAAACAGTGGTAATCCTAAAAATACGTTATTGACCCAAGCACAAATTTTCTGACTAAGCTCAAACTATATTAGCTTTTCATTAAAAAAAAAACTATAATTTAAGTATATTTTTCTTTACTTTTAGGAGCAAATGTGACTATAAAAATAGAATCTCATTAAATGTTTAAGTAATTACTCGTTTTTCCAAATTCAAATTGTGTTTATGACGTAATTTTTTTTTATAAAATAAAATTTACTGCAAATGAATACAGTTTACTACTAGACTTAAAATTTTCGAATTTTTAGAGAGTATCAAAATGTTACTAAAATCTTTTTAGCAAATAAATATAACTTTGTCTCAAACAGAATTGCACAAAACTTATTCATTTGTGAATAAATGTGAATAATGATAGTTAAAATAACTATTTCTTTATTGTATTCGAGAACTCTTCTATGACTATTACATTTATTAATCCTAAAATATTTGCCGTCCTTATTGTGTCAACTTGCGTTACATTTTTGATTCCGTTCATTTTATTTTCTCTTCAAGAGAAAAAATATAATTTAGTGCCAAACAATTATACCAAGAATAAAATTCTGATAACAATTCAGATTTTAGTTTCCAATTTTACACAAGCCATCATTGAATATGGTATTATGTTTAGGATAAAAAAACATTTGATTTTGTTTATTTTTAATTTAATATTAAATGGCGTTTTAATGTACACGAATACGCACAAGCTTAGGTTATGTTGTCATTTAAACAAAAATAATATTGCCAAATCTATATATAAAGACAAAATTCGTAGAAAGATGACTTTAAAACCATCTAAATCAATGCAACATAATGTTATGGTAGCTCATAATAATGAGATAACTAGATTTTGGATTTATTAGTTTCGTTTTTAAAAGTGACGTCTTTATAACAGTATCGACAATGCTGATTTAAAGCAAAATCTAATGCAAATGATTTAAATCTATGTATGGCAGAAAAGTTTGGTAGGAAAAATTAATTGTGTAATTTTTATCATTTAGTTTTAGGAGAATGCTAGTTATGACTGAATGAAAGATGTTAAAGCATAATATAGGAAATTCTGCTCGGAATAGATATTATACGATTAACGAAGACTCCCGAAGAATCTTTATCTGAGTATTTACGTATGGACACGTCATGGAGGCTATTGGAGCATTATGTAAGTATTTTGGCATAGACAGATGTATGGGTGTAAAAGAAATGTTTGAAAATGGAGACATAAAATATATGACATTGTATTTTGAGCAACATTCAAAGTTCATATTTGTTAATCCTAGTTTACCAGAAGTTGCCAGTGTATGCTCTCAGTTCTTTATTTAAAAATATAATTAGTAACGTTTAAAACTAATGCGTAAAGCTAAAGCATTTTAATATGACAAAATAATTACTACTATTGCACGCGCATTTATTTTCCACTCATAACGCAATTACAGTTACCGGAGTTTTAATGTTTGTATTTTTTTTTGTATGGATTTATTTTTAATCAAATGTGTTATAGTCTACATAACGTAGATTTTACACATTTTATATTTCAGTCATGGTAATAGAGCGATTGTGGACATTTTTGATATATTTTAATTGTTAATTTAAGTTTTATTTTACACTTTTTTTGTTATTATTGTTTTTAATCTCTCAAATGTCTTCCTAAACAACCTTATGTGCGAACTGTACCAAAGATAATATGTAACTGAAAATTAATAAATTTGAAAATAATGTTATGATGAGTTTTATTTCCCATTATTTAAGTATTTATTTTATTTTTATGTCAACATCACTGTTATAAGTACATTTGCCTACTTTTAAATAAAGTAAGTTATAGTTTAAAACACAACACGTAGTAACAGTGAGAAAGACGAGATTTTTTTGTATACTTGATTGTTTAAATGTTCGTAAAACGGGATCAAAAAGACATGCACTTGTATCTTTCTTAAGTGATGTGAGAATGCGATCTGAAAGTAATGTCGTTTCGGGGCATGTTGAAAGTTACTTTTTTTGTCATTTATCAGCTTATTGTGTGAAGTGGAAGTATATCCGTGTCAGACAATCGAGGAACTAGATGTCGAGGTCGGCCATCCAAGAGAATTTACAGCATATTGGTAAAATAAAGTCCGAAATACAACTGATCCATCCAAACATGTACCTTCAATGCAATGCAAAATGCAGTTTCGTTGTCAAATTTGTGTTAAATATTTAGAAAGAAAATCAGGCATAACCAATTTTAAATAATATTGTGCTATATTCCCAATAAATAACAATATGTATTAAGGAAAATTAAATAAATGTTTTGTTACAATAATAATTTTTATAAATCTAATTGAAAAAATGCTGGTCATCTCTAATTAAAAGTACCGGTCCCCGAAATCAAACAGGAAATCCATTATGCTAGCAACACCGACTGAAGCACAAGCACAGATTATTTTTAAAAAGGAACACAACTTGTTGCAATGGGCAGTAACATGGATTTAGTATATGAATCGAAATAAAAACTCAAATTAAACGATTTATTGGAATCCTTTGCTAACATAAATATTGTATATTTTTTTCGTTTGAATCTTAATTACGAATTTTTCATAAGGATTTTTATACTATTTTTGTAGATGGCACTGTTTCGCTTGTTGTGCGGTCTTTCATCCGACATTCGACAAGTAAGATGGCGGCGATTAATGTGAAAGGCGAAACGTTGTCTTATTTGTACTTGTAAATAAAGGAACAGCTTATTTTCAACAATAAAATAGTGTAACAAGAAGAGGAAGATCAATTTCAAAGTGTATGCTATGTTGTGGAGTACTGTGTGTTATATATGACATGACATAAGTGGCTTTTTATTTCACAATAGACAAAACCCGTCGCAACGAACATTCGAAGGAGTCGAGGCCATATTTATGATGTTATCTGTTGTGTGAGCGTCCTCAGAAACCACATTGATAAATATTTTTTTATGCCTAAGCTATGGTATGTTGCTTTTATTAAATGCTTACTTTCTTTTAAATATAGGGTTGAATACGTACTTGTATTGTTCAAACACATTGACGCTTCCATCCCCAAGGCGGCGGATTATTTTTATTTCAATACAAAGTTTGTTCCTTATGTGTATTATATTATCCCCATTATGTATGTTTATTATTCAGTTTTGAAATGACAAAAACAACGTTTTCGAGTTTAGGTTATGACGTACTCTATAAATATTCTTCTAATTAGAGGTTTCGTTTGTATTCACAACAGTTTTTCATTACTAAAGAATTGTTTTTTTTTTTCATTTCAGGAGTGTACAGTGTGTACGACAGTGGTATAAAACATGATAACAGTCAGTGCTTCAATTTAATGGTACTAAATATACTATTAACGTGTTCTACAAATTATGGATGAAAGTGTGGACTTTAATTGACAAATTACATTGACACTATACAAAACAAGACGGAGGTGGTAATGGATCCAGTAGGACCATGGTCAGCATATGCTTCTTACAATCGACTAGCGGGGGTACAGGCTGGTGCTGCAAGTGGAGATTTTCATCACCATCTAGCAAGTGGTGGTTCAGGACTTGGCAGTCAGTCGGTTCCATCAACCACAAGCCAATTATTACTCCAGGCAGCTCATACTACAGCATCGTTAGCTGGACAACTCGGTTCATCAACAGCTTCACCCTTCAACCCTGGAGGATTTTTATCACCACCTACTGTAGGATATGACGCAGTGTTTTCACCTTTGTTTCACCATGCCAGTCCAAAACCAGCACACTACAGTTCATCACTGCAGGCGCAACACCGACAAGTAATTGCTCAAGCGCAAGCCGCGGCAGCATCAAAGCAGTCCTCAGTTGAATCTGAACTTTCTTCTTTAAGAGAAAACTATTCCCATCAAACACTAGCACAAGGGACTTCATTTTTTGACCAATCGTCTACACCAGGTAGTGCAACTGGGTTAAGCTGGCAGGGAAATAACCAACTTCCTAGCCCATTTGGGATCTTACCCCACGAAAGTGTTGTGCCTTCATCGCCAAGCCCAGCAACAACAAAAGCCTCAGCAGCTTATGAAAATTTTAATGCACATTTTGCTGCTGCCCAAACACTTAATAATCATCTTAATTCACAAATTGCCAGTGCTGGCAAACAAACAAATAGGTCAGGTTCTCCAGCGACTGCATCTAAACAACCGGCATCTTCAACCTCGTCTTCAACATTTTTTCAATCTCCTCCCGCTTTTGGAAATCAGACTGATAATTCGTACAGTGCGAATAGTGCTAAGAGTGGTCAACTTTCATCTCAACAGGATTACGCAGGAAGTAAGTCATTTTCAAGTTCTGGAAGTCCAGCTGCCCCTTCCCAGCAGTCTTGCATTGTGTCAACTCCATCTGCAACCTCCTCTCCCACTCCTCTCACTAAAGATTACCGCACAACATCCACTAATCCAAGTAGACCATCAGTTTCAATATACAATAATTCACAGTCACCTAAAAATACAAGTAGTGAAAAGACATCAAGACCATCTAGCAATTCTAATACAAGCTTTGTATCTCCTACATCTAAACCTCCACAAGTTCAGACCAAGGCCCAAAGTAAAATATACCCAGAGTTAAATAGTGAACAAAGAAAAAGCTGTGATTCTAATGATAAACTTCAACC